TGGAAGTGCTCGATCCAGTGGTGAGCGGCGCCCAGCAGATACGCCTGGCGGTGCAGACCCAGACTCCCTAGGGGAAGGATGGCGCTAAAGGCTCAAGCCAAGGGTGTTGGCTGAGAAAAAGTATCTCAGCTTCAACTCAAGCCAAAGGGTGAGTGCTGTGGAAGCACGAGAGTCATCGTACTTGCTCAATACCTGATAAGTTCTGGGGCTATTCTAGATCTCGCAAACGCCCCTCTTCTAACCCCAAGAAGAAGGCGAGCCGCGATAAAAAGCCGTCCGCATGCCTACGACAAAGAGCCTACTTTCGAACCCACCACTCCAAATCGCAGCAGCACCATCTGCAGGAAGGTCCTAAACCCTAAACCCTAAACCCGGCACAGTGAGGCTGGGGAGCTTCTGGCCCAGCCCCAAAAGGACCGCTGGAATCGGAAGCCCGAAGCCGTGTCAACCTGATATGACCTGATGCTCATGCAGATGGGCTTTTTCCCTTCTCGCATGGCTAAGGATCTATGCCCACAAGCGAGGATGGCTTGAAGGGTTTAGGGTTTAGGGCTTAAGGGGTAAAGTCTCTGAGTCGTACTTACGGTGCTAGTTAGGGCGGCACGGATACAAGAAGCAGAGTTGCAGCAATAATATAATATAGCGGACTGGCAGCAACAACAGCAGCAGCAGCAACAACATGCTGAACTCAAAGAAACCCTGAGGGTCGCTACGTTAAGCCGGGCTTTGCATTTGCAGTCCTTGTAACCACCACAACATATCATGAAGTGTGTATTTAAATACCCGACGAAAACGGGGTCATCCTGGAAAGGAAGCTTCCCACCTGGACTTCTGGCTTGGCATAGTTGAAGCGGCAGGTGCCCCACCTTGAAAGCTGCGCCCGACTCGGGACGTGTACGTACATTTTGCACTTATCTATTACGTATATAAAGGGACTGTTCGTTGATGGATCATACATGAACACGCACACACACACACACGCGGAGACAGAGACAACAAAGCAGGTTCGGGTATAGAGACTAACCAGGGTTTAAAAGGTTCACGTGGATTGAATTTAGGTGCTAACTAATTAGTTCGGTTCAGGGTTTACGGCTTGCAGTGGCTGCAAACGGCTGTAAATGGCAGCTCTGGCTTCGGCTGGGCAGGCTGCAGCTGCTTCTTGTCTAGGGCTCCTTGAAAGTAGGGTTTAGGGTTCAGGGACCTGTGGAAATTACGTTTCATAGTGTGGCTTTAGGATTCAGGGAGCTCTGGAAATGACGCTTCCTTGTGTGGTGGGAAGGGGGTCCAAGACATCTCGGCTTTCGCGTCCGAGATGCCCAGGGATCTGCCCCATGGTTCCTTCGTACTCGTACTGCGGTGTGCCGCTGTAGTTTACCAAGCCCCACTCGTCCTGCTGTGGCCAGCTCATGGGGCTTCGGTGGCGTCGGAATCTGATACCACCAAGAGGTCCCTTGTCGAAAAAAACAAAACTCTAAAAAGGAACCCGAAGGAAGAGTTTTGATCCTTGAGGCCTCTACATTAGCTGAACAGGCTCTGGCCCCCTGTTTCAGGTTCGCTGTAGGGCTCTGTAGGGTCGAAAACCCCTTGTTTCAGGACGACTGGCCTCCGGTGTTCCCTGGCCAGGCCTAGGCAAGGCGTTCGCTTGAAGCACTTACATTCACGGAAGAGACAGGAAAAGGACAACCTGCTGCAATTGCTGCTGACTGCACACATACCATCAAGACATGTGCTGCAATAAGGTGCGCAGGAATATGACACAAGCAAGCCCGCTTGCTGCAATGAGCCGCAAACAATAATTCAAAACTCGAAATACTCGAAACCCTGAACACCATCAACGTCAAACAGCTGACAACCATTTCAACCACCGGCAACTGCGCACCACTGAGTCGTTTCCTTCGCAAAGTGTGCCCCAACAAAGTCCATGAACACAGCGATTCCGTAGCTGTGCAACGTGTCCACCTCAAACGGCCAATTTAAGAAGGTGCTGAAATGCTCTGGAATCCAATCGCAGGGTTTAGGGTTCTAGGGCAGCTTGGTGTATCTCTCTCCATCTTTCACAGAGCAGCGGCAACCACACCAGCCAGTGACTAAGTCAGAAGCTGCAACACGGGACACACCGGCAAGTCCTTGAGTCATGACCAACCTGCATATGTTGGATAGGAATAGGAAGCAACTCGGCGAAACTCGTGAATCTAGCAGGAAGAGCTGCTGCTATTCTCCCTGGTTCTGGCCACATGCACGATGAAACAGGTTTTTTTTTTGCAGATCCAGCATCCGCAGCAACCAGATCCGCAGAACGGATGTACCGACACTTTATAAGCAAGTTAACTAGTAATTAGGCCGGAAGAATGTCTATACAAGAACGGAGCCCTTGGCCACAGCCACATGGCAGCGAAAACAACGTGTCAAGCTGCGAGGTAGCGGAAGTCGTCGGGAGTGCCAAGACGCCTGCATGTTTCGGAGCCGCAAGTGGGGTCCAAAAGTCACGAAAGTCTACACTGAACCCCTAAAATCTAAAGCCCTGAGCATGCTCGGGACCTCAACCCTCGATTCAGCCTGCTCGTCTTGCACGAAGATCCAGATCGTGGTTAGCTAGATCCTCCTTGAACTACGTACCTCTATGGGGAAGAGGCACATGCGAATAGCCCAACTCTCTAAATCCCTTGAGCCTTTTTACCTCAACCGGCATGAGCCCTGAACCCTATAGCCCTGAGCACTAAACCCTGACTTTGCCCCTAAACCTGAAGTCAGAGTAACCTTTGTGGAGCGCCTGTCCACGGCAAACAGCCCCGCTGCACACTGGTAGCCCCAAGACTCCTCGCAGGGATACCTCGGTCAGCGCAGATTCATCATGGCCACCGAAAAAAGGCACCACCATCATCGCAGCAGTACAGCACGGTAGCAGCAGCAGTGGTGGTAGTAGTAGTAGTAGTAGTAGTAGTAATTAGTAATTAGTAGTAGTAGTAGCAGCAGCAGCAGCAGCAGGAGAAGGTAGTAGTAGGCAGCCCCCACCCCTGCCAACTACACTTGCGCTTGACCATGATAAAACAACGTCCATTTTACGCGGTATTGACGACACTTTCGGCATGTAGGAGCATCTTATGAAGTCTCAGAATCGACTTGTCGAGCTTGCAAACTCGAGATTCGGATTTTGGACTTGTTTTTTTGTTTTTTTGGGAGGGGGGGGGGTGGGCGGGAGGTTGATGATGACGACATTGTTATGCAGACACCCCGAACAATATCTCCAGAAGAGCCATGTTACTCGGTCGTTACAGCACTTTCGTGATGTCGGACCATCTTGTATAGTCACCAAACCTACTTCTAACTCGACCTTGGGATTTCTGAGAGGGCTTTCGGCAAAAACTCGAAATGGGGTGAGGGGGAGCTTCTTTTCGATGATGATCACGAAACTGTTTCGAGCACACGCCACTCCCCCCCCCCCATCCAAGAAAAAAAGCAAGTCCAAAATCTGAAGCTCGAGTTTGCAAACTCGACAAGTCGATTTTGAGGCTTCATGAGATGCTCTTACATGACGAAAGCGCTATGAATACCCAGTGCTGGTTTTAGATGATGTTGATGGTGAGTAGTGGATGATGTTGATGATGATGATGATGATGATGCTGATGATGATGATGATGCTGATGACGATGACGAAGTTTGGTTGTTAAGGCTGGGGGCTGGCTAGTAGAAGTAACAGTAGTAGTAGTAGTAGTAGTAGTAGTAGTAGCAGCAGGAGCAGTAGCAGTAGCAGTAGCAGTAGCAGTAGCAGTAGCGATAGTAGTAGTCGTAGTGGTGGTGGTGGTGGTGGTGGTGGTAGCAGCAGTAATAATGATAATAATAGAATTTGCTGTCACCACGCACGCACACACACATCCGCAACAGAATGCCATTAATCATGTTAGGGTTGTCTCCATGCCAGCACCGGCGCTGTGACAACGGGAGGAATTCCACAGCCGTGAAGCCCAGTTCCTCACGAATGCATCACTGTTGCATGCTAAAGACATGCAGTAGTCAATAAATTACCTGTAAGATCATGTAAGTACCAAGAGCTTATTGCTTCAAGGGTCGACTTCACAGGAGAAGTGGCAGATGCACTTAAAGCTTTCAGGCTAACTAAGCGAGGAGAAAAGATCAGGGAAACATAGCAAGGAGACGGTAGAGCTGTACGAACACCCGAAAAACAAACCCCAATACGCAGGTCCTGCACATGTTTCGCCAGGGGCTCTGCGATATCCCGGTAGTTCGCACTGGCTGTCATGGTCCAACTTCCCAAGTGCACCTCTTCTTGCCACTAGGGGTTTAGACTTTAGGCAGGGGTTTCAGACTCAGCGTTCCCGGCTTCGGTGCATCTTCTTCTCAGGCGTTGCGCGCGGTTCTCTGCAGGAACCTGGTTCGACTACTGATAGCTTGGTGCCTCCAAAAAATTCTGCCACTACACTATACTACATCTATCCCAGCCAGAACCGCCGTGAAGCCCACCATGATAGGACCACTCTTTTTTTCACGGGGTGGGTCGTCTCGTGCGTCAGCATTTCAAAAAAAGACCGCGTTTCGGCACGGGTCGGTGGTGCAGGAAACGAGACAACTCCGAAGTTCAACAACTCGTAACCTCGACTGATCCGACTTCTCCTCTAAACGCCGAAAAACCCGGGCCCTCTCAGAAAAGTCCAAAATTCGGTATATAAACCCTCCGAGCCTCGTAGATGGAAAGAGGCTCCTTGCACCAGGTTGCGCTGCCGAACTGAGCCTTCCCGGGGATTTTAGCTCAAGTCAAGGCATCCACGGGTCGTACCGAAAATAAGGTATTGGAGACTTTCCCAGCTAGGTCAGGTGTTACCTTAAACCCGGAACCCGGAACCCTTTAGGGTTTTTTTGTTTAGGGTTATAATTCTACAGCTCGAGGGTTTAATTAGGATTTAGGGTTATAATTCTACAACCCTATATAAACCAAGATCTCGACCATGACTGACACCCAGGTCTTTGTGCGACTAGGCCCTCCCATATATTGGCACGGCCTGGCGCTTGGCAATGAACGCATCATCAGTCCACGGGTAGGTGCCGTTCCTGTGCGATAACGCATCCATGGCCAACCAAAGATTACTTTCATCATGGAGCAGATGTTGATATTAGGCCAGCCTGCAGACACCCCTGAACACAGAAGATCGAAACATAGAGCTTCTAGGCTGCCTCCGGCCCCGACCGACACATCAGTTTCAGCTGGTGGCTTGCTCGTGCGTGGCGCAAAAAGTGCACATGCCCTGAAGAGGACAAGATACGCTCACACCGCACGACTGAGGACGATTCCACGCTGCTCTGCTGTAGTCGTCGCACTCGGGCACCTGTTTCTCAAAGGCTCATGTCTTGACAGCAGCAGTTTCGTGAAGAGTCTATAGTCTCCAGCTAGGTCATGCATGCGACAAGTCCCGCATTCTCACCCACCCAGCACGTAAGGCGAGAATCCAGTCATGCGGCACCTTGGCATCGTGGCCGCCATCCGAAGGATCCACGAACTCCAAGGCACAAGGATCGGCCTTGACGACCTCATCTGCTGCGAACACCCTGAATTCCATAGGTTTATAGACTTTTCAAAAACACAAAAATTCAGCTTCTAAAGCCCTTCTCTCTTGAAAAGGGGGAAGGTGCAGTGCATGCTGCTGCGCTCGTGACTCGTGATTGCGAAGCAGCATCCCAGAGGTGCTGTGCAGACATGGAAATGAATACTGTTGCATAGAGTTTGCATAAGGAACTTGATGTGCGAGCTTCGGTCTGTGTCTCTTTAGGCCTCCACCGCTGGACATCCACACAATAAGGGAAACCCAACAACTTGCGAAACCTTGCGGGGGAGACTTTCCCTGGCCAAGAGACGGGCTCAAGAGCTTCAGACACCACCTGTTTAGGGTTTTGGTCTGAAGGGTTTCTGGCTAGTTTTAAGGCTAGGCGTCGGCGATCCTGCCCGTGCAATCAAGGCTCGGTCTGCTCTGTTGCATGCTATCGTTGCCATTGCCGTCACTACGCTCTTACCACCACTCTTGTGATGAGTGTTGCCGCTATTATCGCTGCCGGGATCAGAAACTCCCATTACTACAACCATTGATATCAGTTCAACAACCAATTACCACTCAACGTAGCAATAGCAGTAGCAGTAGTACCCTAAACCCTAAACTCCAAACCCCCAAACCTTAAACCCCTAAACCCTAAACCCTAACTCCTAAACCCTAAACCTCCCTAAACCGTAGATACCCCCAAGCCTGGTAGGCATATTTCTGACCGCGCAGGTCCCAGGAAGGCAGGAAGATCTCCCAGACTCCAAACCTCGATGGGTAAGAGGAGGGACCCTTAATAAGGACCCCTAGGTATATAACCTCAATATACCCATTTTATAGCCTATTATGGAATAAGGACCCCCACTAAGAGTCCCTCCTTTTGCCATTTGAAAAACTCGGGTTGCGGGAGGCGTGGACCCCAAGCCTACCCAGAGGCTCCATCGTAGTTCCCTTTTTGGGATTAGGATTCAGGGTTTAGGGTTTTTTTCCTAGGGTTCAAGGTTTTTTTGGGGGTAAGGGTTACCTTATAGGATCCTAAATATACACCGCAAAAAGGAACTACTATGGACCCTAAGCCTAGAGCTCTTTGAAATTTCAACTCACAAGCCCGAGATTTCGACACTCTCAGCAGACGAAGAACTAAACAAACGAATCGTAACCCTTGGGCAAAGGAACTGTGTCAAAAGCCTAGCCAGCTCATGGCCAGGAACTGTGTCAAAAGCCTAGTCAGCTCATGGCCCATCTCCCATCACCAAATCGCAAACCATATGGGTAATTACACAGGGGCGAAGGGGCGCAGGGAAGCCCAGAAAACTCGTGATCCCTTTGATTTGCTAGGGATGCCTACCGTTTAAGATGTGTTTTGTTCGATGGGGTTCCTGCTTGCGCAAACTTCCATCTCACAAGTTCAGATCACGGGGCTTCTCTCGGCAAGACATAGGATGTGCTCGCCCATCCCAGTAGTTGAAGTCGCCGACCAAGCTTACAGAGTGCGCGTTGGGAGCCCAGACAGCGAAGCGCGTGCCCCAAAGCCCTGCCAAGGCATGTCATGACTTTGACCTCCCATAACGAACAGCCCAGAAGGACCGACGCTGTGTCAGAGATAGTAAGGCTACTCCCTTAGGAGAGTGCCTGTATAACTGTTGTATATTATTTCCCGTGAGACCTGATATCATGTTGTGTTAGATTAGTCCTCAGGCATGCATCTAGACGGGCTGTCCTTTCTTGTGGCTGCGCAGCTCCATGTGATGAGCGCCGAACCTTGCAGATGCCCCAAGAAGGGAAGAGTCAAGAACCACAGCGAATTCAGGGGATATAAGGGGGGCGTTTATGGGGGGGCGTGGGGTAGGGAGCGGGATTCTATATGGATTGGGGGAGGAACCTGGATCCCAGTTCCAGGAGACCTTATCTTGGAGGAAGGTCGAGCTCTCAGCGCACTCTGTGCAAACTCTAAACACTGGGCTCTAAGTCCCAAATTCACTTGGCCCTAAGCACTCAATCCATAGCTTTCATGTCAGTTCAGTTCAAGCCTAAGATAAAGTATGTTACATATCTTATAAACATATCGAAAGATCTACATTAATCTACCAGGCGACATGGATGCCAGCGGGGTCTCTGTCAAGCCAGCAGCGAAACCGGTGAGGAAAGACTCTGGGAGCAGTGCTCCTGCGCTGCACTGAGGCGATCATATAGAACATCCTAGGATTCTTCAAACTCCTGATATCGTGAGCGTGATGAGTATTAAGTGACTATGGCTTTTATTGTCAGCATGCCGAGGTGGCATTCAAAGTCGCGAGCTCGTAGCAAACGGTTTCAGGATTCCCATCTCCCCGAGAGGGAGACGTCATCCCTCTAACATCATCATTGTCTCAATGGCCTACATGACCCGAAACCCTGAAGCCTAACGTTATCTCAGATTTTTTCAGATCGCAGTAAAGCAGGTGAAGCAGGCAAAAAGGTCACAGTATGCCCACCGGACTAATAGTGCGAATGATCACGTTCTTGCTCTCACCTCGCTTTCATGCACTAGCCTCGAGGGCGCGGGCCCGGTTTGGGGACGCCTCTCCATTGTTTTGCAAGGTCGTAGCCGTGGAAATACCTCCTGACACCTCCGTTGGGGGGAACCGGCTACGCAACTCTCTCTCTCTCTCTCTGTCTGTCTCTCTCTCCATCATCTGTATGAAGGTACACGGTTCCTGCTTGATATGTCATGGGTCATGTGCAAATATATTCAGACTCGTACATAGAGAGCATTCAAACCCTGCTCCAAACCTGAACCCGGAAACCCTGGCCTACAAAACCCAGGCCTCTCCAAACCTTATAAGCCTTATAATAAACCCCAACCGCCCCAACCAGAGCTGTGAACCGTCTCTCCTAGGGAGTGCGGGTAGGTGATACTGCAGCTCGAGCCTCCCGGGTACCTCAGAAGTGTACACAAATGCTGCAACGGACGTGTAGAGGTCGGAGTAAATAGCAACATCCCTGTACGACCCCTATACAGTTATTATATTACTATCTCCCAAAATCTTGTTCTAGATCAAAGGCCGCTATATCAAAGGGGATTGGTCTGGTGCTGTCAGGGTAGGAAGCTTCCTCCGAGGATTCGACAGTTCGCTTGTTGGCACCTCCTAATACTCTGCATCTTCATTGGCGTTTAGGGTTTTTTGGTTTCGGGCTTAGACATACTCAGAAACAGTTGTTGTCCCAGTGGACGACGGCAAGCCGACACAGCATTTACCCTTGCAAAGAGCTTCCAATATGTCAGCCCGGCGATTGTTGGCTTGGGTTAGCTGAACTCAGAGATAATGCTTCAGAAGCTGACTGTAGCCTGGCCGCCGAATGCAGACTTCGTAGTTCCACTTTTGTAGCTCCGACTTGTCTTCGGTGCCTCGCGACAGCAGGGATGAAGAGCGCACGATCGGAACATAAAACCGAAATTACCAGCATGCAGAGTAACCATACTCAAAATGCACCGACAATCAACATAGCCACAAGCGCGATTCAGAGTGCCAAAACGCTATCATCAAAAGGACGTTTATATCAGAGGTTCTTCCTTAGGAGGAGATAGATGAAATGATTTTATGGAAACAACAGTGGGGCAAAACAAGAAGGTTCAGGATACGGTATTGTCGAAGCACCAACTTAGCAAGTATACAGTACATGTGCAACCATAAACGTGGTGATCATTACCACAATCATCACTAGCACATAGGCTTTGTTATTGTTAACACAAGCAAGAAACAACTTGCAAGTTAACACACATTAAAGCAGATGTCGTAACAAGCGCCAAAATTGCGAGTGAACCAATTCGAAAACTCTCAATGCAAGACCTTCCGGCCACGCAGCCCAAAAGCAAAAAACCCTCTAAAGCCCCAAAGGCACACACACACAAATACACACGCACGCACACACACACACACAGAGACGCCCACACAGACAAAACTCGGCCTACATACTCGAAGGCCCGTTCGAAGAGCCAAGGGCAGTCTCCAGGGCACCGCTCCACGGGAAGCAAGGCCACCTAGGACTGTACCCATAGGCCCCTATAAGTAGTTCCTTTTTGGGATTACCTTATAGGATTCTTAAAAAAAACCACAAAAAGGAACTACTTAGGGGCCTTTGGGTACATGTGGTTTCGGGCCTGTCCTTTGCCTCCCGCATGGTTAGAGGACGGCCCCCTCCTAAGCAGAGTACTTATATAAGTTGTGGAGCTTCGAGCTTAATTACACAGGCAGTAGAAGGGTGTGGGTATGTGGGTTTCACCGAGGAGGGAGAAGGGAGTGCTGGTGTTCATCTTTCTTAAAGCGGAGGTGGATTCAACCAGGTTCCAGAGGAAGGTTTCGTGTGCCTTGCTTCCCTGTCACTCTTTCGGATCCCTGAACCCTCAACCCTAAACCCCTAAACCCGAAACCCTGAGCTTGGTGGAAAAACGCTCCTACGACCAGAGGCCTCCCTGAAACCGGGCACGATGCCGAACCGCTGCATGAAAAAACACACGTAACACTGCACCTGGCCCTGCCATCCATCCTACACTCCTAAACCCTACATACATGCATATACACACATGAATTTATGTACATATACATATATATATATACATTCACACACACACACATATATATATATACATACATTTACAGACACACACACAGAGATATATATATATATACGTATGTATGTAGGGTATTCCGCAAATGGAGAGAGAGAGAGAGAGAGGATTTAGGGTTTAGGGAGGAGATAGAGAGAGAGTGAGAGAGAGAGAGAGACAGAGAGAGAGAGGGGTCAGAGCCACAACATGACGTCGACCGAACGGCTGGATAGACGCCTTGATACGCCATTGGCTTGACTCTAACTTGTACTTATCGTCCTGTACATAGAGCCCTTAAAGCAACCCCGACCTATTTGTTGCATCAGGATTTGGGCGATTGCCTAAAGGTCCCCGACCCTAAACGGCTTAAACCTACAAACCTTAAAGAAACCTCACATTCCCACATAAAACTCCGCTAGAGCCCTGTAACACCCTCATGAACCCTTACAGAAAACCTGACAGAATCCTACAATGCTAGAAGCCCTTCCAAAACCCTTTGACAGGCTTTTCACCCAAAAAAACCCTAAGCCCCTAAACCCTAAACCGTAAAAGCAAAAACAACAAAAGAAGGAAGTTTGCGCGCACGCTTCCCAGCCTGCTCCGGGGGATCCTCGCGGGCATCGGAGAGCTCGGGCAGAAAGACCTCCTGCAGGCCAGGCTTTGCTGCTGGCCTAGGGTTTAGGGTTTAGGGGAAGATTCGGGGATTCTTTGGTTTAGTATAGGAACCTGATTCAGAAACCTAGGGTCTTTATTAGGGTTCTTTCTTTATATGAATCCTAATATTTTGGTGATATAGGGCCAGGGTTTCTTAATCAGGTTGCTCGGAGGACGTGTGGGTTTCGGCAGTTGCTTTGGAGTTTCAGGTGCTTTCAAATGTCAAAGACTTGCTCTCCCTTTTGCCAACTCCTGGAAGGCTTGAAGGCTCGGGGACTCCCACGCTCTAGGACGTTTGTGGCTTGGGAGGATTTCGTGTGTTTCGTAACCTCCAACACAGTGGGATCCCTGTCAAGACACGCATCTAGCAGATTCAGGAACAAGGGGTGCTGAGATATCCCGCTTCTTTGCAGCTTTCTGCAGACTTCGAGCCCGTCCACTGGTATCTTCGGGTACTTCGTCGACGTAAAGCACATCCCAAAAACAAATGCAGACTTCGAGCCTTCGAGCAACAGAGCTTGCTTGACGCATCGTGCTTTCGTCTCGGGAGTTCATATGATTTCTCACACTTAAAAGAGCCTCTTAAAGCCTTAAAGGATCACTTCAGGGTTCAAGACTTCTGGCGGTGCATAGCAGCTTTTTCAGGCAAACTTGTACCCTGCCCTGGCGCCTCGGCATTCGTCACAGACACGGCTTCTGCTCCGCTAATCCAACACCGCAGGATGACGTTGGAGCCAATGACCTTCAAGTAGCAATATCACTGCATGGACCTACTGTAGGGGCCTTAACAAGAACAAGGTTTTGGGGCCCATTTTACTATAATTAAAACAAGGAACCCGCAAAATAGCATTGTTCAGTTATTTTGCCCCTACATTGCCTTCTTCCTGCCGCTTGCTCCACTTGGCGCATGCTAGTCGCAGCTAGCCACCGGTGACTTTCGCAGCTCTTTTCCCTAGACTGCTTCCTGCGCTTCTGTTGGTGAGCTAGACAGGCTTCTGTTGGACATCAACGACACCTTTCAACGCAAAGGAACTAAGCATGGCCACATCCTCCAACAGTAAGAGGGCACCATGGAAAGCCCAACCCTAAGGCTCAAAATAGCCCAAAGCCTTATAGAGTATGGTCATTTGGGCCCAAAAGCCTTACAATATGAGTACTTAGAGCCTTAGGCAAAAACTTGTGGCAATAATGAAGAGCCCAGCGTCAGCGTCGAGGCATCGCTAAACTGCGCGTTGGCTTCCTCGTAAAAATCGCGAGTTCATACCGCAACCTGCAATAGCCTCTGCACGCCTCTCTTTATGTTCATGTGCTTCCGTTGTCCGTTTCTAAAACCCTGAATCCCACATGCAGGAGGGTGTTCACCCAATATCCGAGAATAACACACACACACACCCATAACCCAAACCCTACACCCTAAAGTCCCAGAGCCTTACCCACAGGCCCCTAAGTAGTTCCTTGTAGGATTCCAAATATGAACGACAAAAAGGAACTACTTGGGGGCCTATGGGTAAACTCACAGAAACGTCCGAGCCTTGAGCTCCAAAGCACTGAAGCCCGCATCGCGAAGGTCTTTGCCGCTGTGGCCTTCATGTCGGAAAAGGCCGTCGGCTCTACTTGAAGGCTTATGGCAATTATTATGGTTTTGGCTTAGGGTTTAGGGTTTAGGGTTTTGGATTTATAGGCATTTATAGGGCGTAGATGGGTGTAGGGCTGCCAACACAGTAGCTCTGCCTACAAATTCCCGTAGTGGTTTGAGTAGGTTTAACCTTCCCCTCTGTTCGTTATACAGTACCCCCTCTAAGCTATTTCACGGTTTCAGCACTCACTCTCGGACGAGCCTAGGCGAGGTTAGCAGGTACGTCGATAGGGTAATCCTAAACCTTAAACCCGTAATCCCCATAGTCCCCTCTTGCTGATTGCTGACCTTACTCACCCCACACTTCAGCTTTCTTGAGGGGGCGTAGACCTTATTATCGCATACCATTCGAGGTGGTTTTACAAGGCTTTGTTCAGAGTCTTATAGTTGTTGGGTTGTATGAATTTTGACGGCCTCACCACGCTTCATGGGACTCCTCGTAGGGGCCCCAAGAATCGCAACAGGGTTTCCGGTATCTTACCGTAGAGTTATCTAGGGACTGTGATTAAGGTGGTATATCGTTCCCACCGCTCTCAACACATTACATGCATCACATCCAGTCGTCATAGGTAGTTCTTTTGGACCTCATGTAAGATAAGTCCAGAACACAAGAGGCCTTCTCAGCGCAAGCCGTCCTGGCCTGCGCCTACTCCCGAATGAATGTATGTTGAAGCTTCAATGGAAGGAGAGCGGTGAAGGAGATGTGTGGTCTAGGGGTAGAAGTTGAAGGCAGGGTTTAGCGTCTGGTTCAGGGTCTAACGAAAGCCGATGCCAGGACTGGGCTTTCTCAGACCTGAACCTGAAGTGCAAAACCACGACACAACACATTTACGATTGAAACTTCAAGTGCCCCGGGCCCCGAACCCCAACACACATCCTAAAGCCCTAAACATCTCAGGATGCTCTCCGGCCTTCTGCCAGGAGCTGCTTCGCGGAGATGCCTATGGGATGAACTTCTTCGGTCGAAAAGCCAGCAATTTTCCTTGGAGTGCGGTGTTTGGCCTTTGTTAAACCCTACTAAACCCTAAACCCCAAAGACCCTAGACCCTAAAACCCCTAAAACCCACCCAAAAAAACCCAAAGCCCTAAACCCTAAACCCTAAAACCCCCCCCACCAAAAGAAAAAAAGACCCAAAAACAGGCCCCGAAAGAGCGCTGGCCCGGCGTCAGCTTCGAGGCCTGGAAGCCGCTTCGTTGGAGCTCCGGCGCCGTGAAACCCGCGAGGCGGAGCTCCGCCGCCGTGAAGCCAACGACCTGGGGACGCTTTAGGGGTTAGGGGTTTTTAGGGTTCATAGGGTTCATAGGGCTTATAGGGTTTATAGGGTTTATAGGCATTTATAGGGTTTAGAGGGTTTAGGGCAGTTTAGGGTTTAGGGTTTAGGGCGCCTTTAAAGTTTCAGGAGCCTCTTCTAAAGACCATAAAACCCTGTTAGAAAAAGCCCAGAAACCTCGTTATGAAACCCCTTACGTATGAAGCGTGAGTTAAAAACCCTCTAAACCCATGGGCTTAAGAGCCCTATCGATCCCGCAAGCCTCCAAAAAAGTCGGAACATGGATGGGCGACGTTGAATGCCAGGGTTCCCCCCATGCGTTTCCTACCTTCACCTTAAGGGCATCCGGATGTTGGGGCCCGATTTTTACAGACAACTTCGCAAAAAAAAGGTACCATGTAGGGGGTTTTATAAGGCTACTCTTTGGGCCCCACATCTCGTATCAGGATCATGATGCTTGAGCCCTATCCTAAACCCTAAACCCCTAAACCCCTAAATCCCAAACCCTAAACCTCTAAGGCCCTAGGCCCTAAACCCCTAAGGCCCTATGGTAAGGACAACTTCGAAAAAAGGGGGACCCCCCAAAAAAAGGGCGCCTGGAGTTGCTCCGTGACGCCCGCAGCCCTGAAATCTTCGGCTTTGAAATCCTCCCAAGCGGGAAGGAGCTTCGGGTGTTTAGGGTTTAGGGGGGTTTAGGGGGTTTAGGGGGGGGGTTCAGGGTTTAGGGTTTAGGGAGGTTTTACGTGGCTTCAGGTGTTTTGAGAGGATGCTTTGAGGGCGTGTTCTCGCGGTTTCACAAGGGTTTTGGGGGGTTTAGGCATCACCTGTCTGTCTTTGAGTGCCTTCCGGCCGAAGCTCCGACTCCGCTTGGGGCATGTTGGGGGTCTCGGAATTTAGGGCTAATGGACTCTGGCCGCTTGTACTCTGCCGGTTCAGGGCTCTAGGGCTTTAGGGTTTTAGGGTTTGGTTTAGGGTTTAGGGATGTTTAGGGTTTAGGGGTTTAAAGGTGAAGTCTTTGGGCAAAGGTGTGCAACCTGCAAGTCCCAGATACCGTATCGAGCCCCAGCCCAAAAACCCTGCCAATGTATGCCCCAAGACCTCTAAACCTCGAAGCAAGCCGTAACAACATATTAAAGCCTGAAACTCCGAATCACCCAACGAGTCTTGTTTGACTTTGCATCCTGGGCAGTGAAACCGGCATCACGGAGGCTCTGGGCGTGGTAGCGTGCCTTGGCTCTACACGCTTCATTCAATGCGGGTGTGCTTAAGCAGGTTTGAGATTTAAGGCTTCGGGCTTCCCGGTTCTGCGTGCGGGGTAGGCCCTCCTCCCTTTGCAGCTGTTCAGCCCGAGGAGGTCCCGGACATTCCTTCAAACCACGGATGTTGTGAATCCCCATGTCAACTTCTCGAACAGCAAGACTCTAAGACTTAAGTGCCAAGCCCCTAAGCAAGCCCACGAGCCGAAACCCCCAAACCCTTACAGCCCCACAACACCCTGCTACTAATGCCCCAAAGGGGGTTTCCGAAAATAGGGGACCCAAATATAGCACCCGAAATCGTCGGATCCTCATAACAAAGAACCCCGAAATAGGGTACCCCTAAATTTCGGAAACGCCCAAAACCCCAGAAGCCCTACATCCGAAAGGCCCTGCACCAAGAGGCCGCCACAAATTCGGCGGCGGAAACGCCCGCAGCTTTCAGCTCGGCAATAGTAAAGCCGCAGTTGAGCTCTGGCAGGCTGTACCCCTCAGCTCTCAGCTCCTCAGGAGATTTGGGTTTGGACAGCTTAAGCCGTAACTTTTTGTGCCATAAACTTACTGCTTTAAATAAATAATCAAGAGAGTGCCGGGGTTTTTCGTAGAATCATGAGACTGGCCTCAAACCCAAAACTTCAGGCTTTGGGGGAACAGCGTCCGCGAAGGCAGCCGCATTCTCTCTCACGAAATATCCATAGGTTAGGGCGTTTCAGGCATGCAGGAGTTGGTCCATCTACGATGAAGGTAGAGGGGAGCGTTAAGAGAGCCCAACAAACCGTAATATAGGGGCCTAAATTTTCACCAATAATAGTCTTTTGGGGGGTTCCTTTTTACCAAGTAACCCTAAACCCAAAACCTTACACCCTAAACCCTGTATCAACCCCTTACAAAGCCCCAACCGAGCCCCGGCTCCTGGGCGGAGAACGCAGCCGCCTTCAGCGGTGGGACGCCCATGCCAGCCAGCTTCAACTGCTGCACCGTAAACCTCGGTTTTAAACGGTTTAGGGTTTGGGGTTTTTTAAGTGTGGTGGCTCTTTCACTCCGCTGAACAAAGGTCAGGAGCCCGCTGTGAAAACGGTTTAGGGTTTAAGGTTTCAAACTTCACCCGGAGGGTCCGAAAGATCCATTTCTTTGTGCAAGTAGGGGCCTTATTTTTTCTTGGAATGCGGTTTGGGGTCGTGCTATACAGAACTAACTCTAAAGGGAGTAAGGGTACACTATCAGTAATTCTTCCGAGCCCTCTCAACTCAAAACTTGGGTCTACGGGAGTGGATTTGTATCTTCATATCTGGAGGAGTAAAATGGGCAGTTCTCTAAATTAGGGTCCCTTTTTGGGTCCCCAATATACTACGGCACCCTTATAGAAAAGGGACCCTTAAAAAGGGACCCTAATTCAGAGAATTACCCAAATACGGTACTTGGGCATCAGGGGTGAGGATGGTTCAGGTTCAGGGATGTTCGGGGTCTGACAGGGTTGGTGAAGGCTTCGGCTGTTAAGGGCTTCATGACTTTTTGGTGTTGAGTGTAGGGTTAGGCATTGCGGGCGGGCCATTGAGGGTTCTCCGGGGGGTTTAGTTGAGGAGTGTCTCACCAGAATCCCCTGGTCGCCATCATCAACAACGAAACTAGAGCAGCACAGAAAGCACTCAACAAATCTCTAGCCATCTGCGCCACTTTCCCGCAATTTCCAAGCAGAAAAGCATGCAAAGTCTCGTCCTAAGCCGACGGCAGCTGATTTACATGCTCGGTGCCGGAGTTCAGGATCGTCACGCTTTGTTGCAAGATTCATCAAGTTCTACACGAGATATGTCGGATCCAGCAGTATCATGCATGAGCAACGCAAGCACTATTGGAGGAGTTCGAAACATTGCAGGGACGGCGCTTCCAACGGTGTTCATGACGGCATGCCGCGGCATGCCCATCAGGCTGTGAGATGCTGAGTTTCTGCAAGCCTCTAGCCAGGCAATCTGCACCAGTTAGCAGAGCCCATTCTGACCAGCAGACCACATTCAATGAACAATTGGCCCAGTCACGAGAGTTCAGCACAAATTAAGTTGTGATAGCTTAAGCAAATATCGGGTACAGAGGGTATGGTAGTTGGTATCGGCATGGTTCCCGGGCCGTACGGCACTGCAAAGCCCAAACCGTGAACCAACCAAGAAACCCTAAACTGAGCATAATATAGAAGCCTAAATAATTACTTGTACTATCTTAGGGGTTCCTTCTTATGAATATATATAGTATAATGGGCCCCAAAACCCGATTCTAACTATTAAGGCCCCCTATATAAAACCTGAACTTAGGGGCTGAGAGTTTAGCCCAAAAAAACTGCTAACCTTTCAAGTATGGTAGGATTATATAAGCCCAAAAGCTTACCTACTCAGCTACTAAGTGAACCCTAAACCCTACACTCTAAACCCTAAACCCTTAACCCTAAACCCTAAACCCTACACCCTAACCCCTAAACCCTGAACCTAAGCCCCTAAACCCTAAACCCTTAAACCAGCGAAGGAGCCCAGCATCCAGAAGATGCCGCAGCTCCCAAGTATCGGTGCCAGAGTTCGGCGCCGCCCTGGCCTTGGAACCTTTCACGCCTCAGTCGGGTTTAGGGCTTTGGGTTTAGGTTTCGGGGTTTAAGGTTTAGGGTTTAGAGTTTAGGGCTTTGGGCTGCAATTCGAGTTAAGGGATTTCGAGGTGTTGGATTTGGGGGTTTATAGGGTTGAAATAGGAGTTCAACGGAACTGCTGGAGAGTTGCAGGCAACAAAAGACTTGCAAAGTACAGCTAAGATCGCTTTACCCAGGAGACGGGGCGATGTGGAAACTTCGAATGGGCATGCTTACCAATATGGAAACTATGCTCCGTAGCTTACGTGGCTATCATTACCATTCTTGTTGCATGGTATCATTCGTAAACATACTGTTCGTTTTAGTCTTGGCTTATTGCTCTTATTGTTCTTTGTACCGGTTGCAAATGGTGTAAACTCGTATAACTGCCTAGCAGTACCGAATCAGTACTGTTGGCACTTATATAACAATGCGTATTGCCCACGACCATGTAGTAATTGAGGGTTGGTATCATGATTATGATACTTGCTTCTGCTATGCGTGTTGTTACTGCCACTACCAATATCATCTTCATACCAATGCTATCATCAACCTTGCCCTGCGCTATGATTTCGCTTACAAGGATCAGGGTTCAAGGCCCAAAGATCAGCAAGTCCAAGGTCCCCTATTCTCTAGAGCTGAAGTTTGGCTGGGGCCAGCTGCTCCCTCCACTGCTCCTACGACTACTACTACTGCTACTACTACCACCACTACCACCACTACCACTGTTAATAGCCGTAGTAGTCGTAGTCGTCGTCGAAGTCTAGTACTACTGCTGAGTTAGTAGTAGTAATCGTAGTCGTCGTTGCAGTAGTAATAGTAGTGGTCGTCGTCGTCGTCGTCGTTTTAGAACAAGTTGAAGAAGGCCGAGCTTGTCCAAGGAGCGCCCGTGGGGCGGACTTGACGGCTGCGAATCCCCGGTCCGGCTCGGACCCCAGCGCAGCGCCACGAGGTCCCGGGTGAAGCCGGCCTTTCAAAGTTTTTGGGCGTCAGGGCTTGGGAGTTTACTAGGGGTTCGGGTGGGTTGTAGGCATGAAGTAGCAATGCTCCCGATTACCGAGCAGCAGCTGGGAAACAACAACTTAACGTCAAACGGCAGATCAACAAAGTACTGATTCATCGGGCCCAAAACCCTGCAGCAATATAGTAGCTTGGAGTTACTTGGACCTAAATTATAACCGTAAAGCTTCAAGACCGGATGTGAATATTGTGCTATTGAGCACTCTTCAGGGTGGCGAGGCGTGGAACCTCTTCGAACGTAGTCGCCCCGAAGCCATCGCGGAGAAGTTTGGCCAACAACCTGTCTTCGTGTCTCCTAGGAGCCTTACCACCACATGACAAAAGAATCTTAATAACTGCTGCGGTTTCTACTGTGGTGGATACGGATTCCTGAGGAACAGCTTCAGCGTTGAGGATTAAATCTCTGACGCGCGACATTGGGATACGAAGCACTTCATGCAGCCTGGCTAACCTCTTCCGTTCGCCAGCTTCACGAAGATGAGTATGTAGGCTCAAACTCGCAACGCAGGCCGCTAGAAAGTTATCCGCTAGTGAGTCCTTGGCTAAGCCCACAGTTTTGATGGCACGTTACAAAACATTGCAGGGAAGATCCCGACAACTGGCAACTAGGATCTGAGTCATGACGATTGCTAGACAGGCATCTTGAAATCAAGACGCATAAACCCCAAACGCCCGTCACTTCAAACTCCTATATGAATTATCCATGTGACCGCTGGAGGATCGATTCCACGCCGTCCTTCTTAGCCGCACGGCCTGCAGTTATCCGCTCACAGAAGGGTGTAGGCAGTATGAGGTACTTGGCAGTTCCGAGTTAAGCCGCTAAGGTCCTTTATGGTTCCTGCTGTACTCTGCCCTTGCATCTCGGGTAATGATGTAGAATCGGATCTACCTCAAGGAAACTGACGGGATGCAGCGTGACCGTCTAGCAGCACCAGCACATGTCGTACCCAAAACTCTAATAGCCCGAAGCCCTGAACCGCGGCACATGGCTTGTGTCCAATTTCCACGATATACACACCATCCGTCTGTACAGCTGTGGCAGTGACAGTAGCAGGAGCAGTAGCAGTAGTCGTAGTGGTCGTCGTCGTAGTGGTAGTAGTAATCGTCGTCGTCGTGGTAGTCATAGTGGTAGTGCCGGTGGCTGTGGTAGTGGTCGTGGTGGTGGTGGTGGTGATGGTGGTGGCTTTAGAAGTAGTAGTATTGGTGGGACTTATGGTAGTAGCAGTAGCAGCAGCCGCAGCAGGAGTAGTAGTAGCAGCAGAAGTGGTAGCAGTCGTCGTCGTCGTCGTAGTAGTAGTAGTAGTAGGAGTGGTGGTAGTAGTAGAAGTAGTAGTCGTCGTCGTGGTGGTGGTGTTGGTGGTGGTGGTGGTAGTAGTAGTACAGTATTTGGGCAAGATTGCCGCGCACTCTTGCAATCTTGGTCTCGCCGACTACTTTACCTTCTAGACCAAGATTGCGACCAAGATTGCCAAGCAATCTTGCAATCTTGGTCTCCAAAAGGCAAGCTAGTGGGCGAGCAAGTGGGGCAAGGGGAGGGGGCAAGATTGCAAGCAATCTTGCAGTCATGATCTGCAAAAGGTAAACTAGTCGGCGAGCAAATGGGGCAGGGGCAAGATGAGCAAGATGACCAAGATTGCTTGGCAATCGTGCTCCCTCCCGCCTGACCAAGACGACCAAGATTGCCAAGACGGTTCCGCAAAATGATTGTTCTAGATTCCGGGCACACTGTAGTAGTAGCATCAGCAGTGGTGGTGGTGGTGGTGGTGGCGGCGGCGGCGGAGGTTGTGGTGGGAATAACAATATCAATGCACCTAGGTAAGTACGGACATACATACATTTGTGGCACTCGCACTCGACGCAGTGAGGCGAGGTTTAGGGCGACACACTATGTTTTTTTATTACATAACATACATACAACCATAAACAAATAGTTCTGAAAGCATGCATATACATATATATATATATATGTAGTCGTATGTGTGTATGTATACAAAAATATGCACGCTTATGCTTATACACAGTTGTGTGTGCACCCACCCACGCACATATATACAGCTACATGTGCTTAAATACACACGGTTAAACTATTGAGTTCATACATAAACAAACAATACATAAATACATAGAAAAACAAAGAAACAGGTGCGCACACATGTACGTATGTGTGTATATGTTGTACATCTATATATATATACATACATACATTTACACACACATATTTGTGCAAGACAACGCTTACACACAAAAGTATGCATAGACATACACATTTCTGTGCGTGTAAATAGGGTACACCCGTGTGTATGTGCATAAATTTACACACATACATACATACGTACATTCATCCAGGCATCCAGGCCGGCAGGCAGGCAGGCATATGTAAACATGTGCATCCTTGCATATTCTGTCTTGTTTCATTTTCTATCTATCTATCTATCTATCTGTCTACCGAGCTGTCTATCCATCTGCCTATCTTTCTACGCACATAGGCTGCCGGTTTGAGGGTTTCAGCCCCGGATTCTTCCCACGCACTCCCAGGAAAGGACCTTCCGTGCGAAGGTGGAGGTAGCCGCGAGTGGAGGAGGCTCGGAAGTCCTGCAGTTGGGCCTCGAACTCCTGGATTTTCTGCTCAAACCTGGGAGTAGATCGGGTGCCTTTTTGTTTAAAGGCTCTTTGTTAAAGGTAGATAATAGTGTTGGATTTTTGCTTAAAGGTTCTTTGTTAAAGGTAGATAGAAGTAGTGTTGGATTCTATTGGGGTTTGCTGGGGATCTGTTGTTCAAGACAGGGATTTAGGTAGGGTGTCAAGCTTATCTTCTATTGAAGCCTGGGATGAAGATCTTCGCACAGAGACCCCGCAAAGGAATATGAGGCCAACCAGCAGACCTCAACATAGGATGGGCCGACCTGGACTCCGCACTTTCAATCAAAGAGTTTTACCAAAGGAACCCTGAAAAAGGGACCCATATCCCTGTAAAAGGAACCCTTAAAAAGCGACTCATAGCCCTTTAAAAGGGGCCCGAAAAAAGGGACCTTACCAATTGAAGGTTCCTTTGTTGCCGGCCGAGGACTTCTTCGCAGTGTCCAGCTGGTCTTTCGCATACTCTATCTCGTACTCCTCGGATTGCGACTTGCTTAGGGTTTAGGGCTGAAGGTTTAGGGTTTAGGGTTAGATCGTGGGGATGATAGGGCGTAGGTCCTCTGACCGTAAATAGAAGTTCTCTTGCATTCTCGGCCAACAGTGCCTGATTTGCTCCTATGCCTATGCTTGTTCTAGTGTGGTTTTTGTAATTACTCCTTGTCAACATGACGCACCGTGTCATGATTCTTGTCGTTGTTGGTCTTAAGGCTACACATTACAAACAGTTTAGAGTCACTATATCTATATGTTTTTATATATATATACACACATAAAATACATACACATATAGAGGTCTCATGCAATAATCACTTTTCGATGACTTCCGGGGCCTGCCGAGATGACTCCGCATTTGAGCTGCTGAAACACATCGTAGCCCGTGCTATTACCAGGTTCATTCTGTTCAGTAGGGTGTGTGTTTTAGGGTTGAGGGTTAATGGTTCAGTGGTGTACCTAAACCCCCAACCGCCTCTCGTGTCTTCGCGATCGACTGGATGAGGTGACTCAGAGAGTCAGCATGATCAACGAGGCAACGCATGGCCACCTGAGACATTGGGTTTCCAGCTAGCTGATGGTCTGTTCGGTGTCACTGGGCGAGCACATGCTGGGTTGAACAAGAGCGAACGAGCATCAACGACGAAGCAAACGACTGCAGGAAGCACCGCCCCAAAGGATCTGTTCAGAGATCTCCAAGCCACTGGATTACCATACTTGCCATTTCTGCTCCCTAAACCCTAGAAGTCTCAAACCCCAAAACTCCATTGCCACCTGGAGGTCACGGCACATCTGCGCCTGGTTCCTCGCCTGAACCGTGATTTACTAAACGGGGAATAGGGGGTTGCAAGGAGTGGAGGCACCAGTCTAAACCTTCGTTCTACAACCCTAAGCATACAAAGCACCCAGTACCTACAGTAGCTCCGGAGACTGACGCAGGAACGGCTTACTAGTCTGGGGAGACATATTGCTGGGAATACCAAGGTTTGAGGGCTGGATGAAACCCAGCTCAAACAAGAGTACTCCAGGTCTCTCCTGAGAACTCCTTACCAGAACAGGGTTAGGGTATTCAACCCCGCAACCCCCCAAAAGGTCTCTCGCCCGAAACTCCACGATGCAATGGAAAAAACGATTCGAAAATACTCTAATGCCCTGCAATGTTTACTCCAAGGCATGCAACCACACGGCATTCAACTCCCTCTATCAGCTGAATCCTACACCCCTAAACCTCAACTCCATCCCTAAATCTAACCCTAAACCCCCATAATTAAACCCTACACCCTAAACCTTACACCCTAAACCCCTAAGCCCTAAACCCCCCCAAACACCAGCAGCCCTTCAACCCGAAGCCCGGTTGCGCAAAGCCTCCACTCCGAATTCTCTGACAGGAGCCCTCCCCTCGAAGAGGACCCCGAGAGCCCCGAACCAAAAGAGGTTTTAGGGTTTAGGGTTAGGGTTTAGGGGTTTAGGGTTAGGGGCTTAGGGTTTAGGGTTCAGGGAACCCTAACCCTGATTCCTGAAGACACAAAGCCGCTCAATCTTAAGTTAAACCTTCAATGGCAGACTGCCCAAACAAGACCTGGAGCCTTGTAACCCTAGACTCTTAAACCCAAAAATCCCCCCCCTACCCCCAAAGAGACCCAATGGTCCTTGGACCTTTGAAGCCCAAAGCTTCAAGCTTAAGGCAGGCGGCTCTGTAGGAGGCCACCAGCTCTAGGAGGACCTCGACCTGCTTCTGGCATTTGCTGCAGGGATAGGGCTTCAGGGTTTGGGGCTAGCTCTTGGGGGGTTGGAGTTTTATAGGGGTTCCATCCGAGTTCTGGGCCTTTAGGCTTAAGGGCTTGAGGGTTGAGGAGCTCAGGAAAAGAGGGTCTAAGAGAAACTGGGACTATCAAGGGTCTGGTCCTGGTTGTCTCGGGACCCTCGAGTTTCTTTATTCAAGGACTGCTGGTTCTCTCAGGGAAGGGTTGACCCAAAAACGAGATCCATACACTAGTTTTCAGCAAACCGCGACCGTTCCGAACTCCCATCCCAACAGATTCTCCCCACCCCGATACAGGGAAACCCCAAGCCGTAAATACATGCAGAACTGAACTTTTGTCCATCGGCCGGATACTTCACAAGCTTAGGAGCCAATGGGCCAAAGCACTCGGATCCTGATTCTAAGGATCCCCAAGAAGGAATCCCCACGCTAAACCCTAAACCCCTAAATCCTGATTTTAAGGATCAAGAAGGAATCCCCACCCTAAACCCTAAAGCCTGATTTCAAGGGATCCCCGAGAAGGGATCCAACGCCTGACCCGCATTCGAAAGTCCGTGGAAACCAGTCTGCGCGACTTGTGAAAACCCAGCTCAAAGCCGGTCAGCAGGAACCCCATAATGCCCTGTAAGAACCCCACAGCGCGCACCCTTTAACCCAGAAGAACCCTAAGAGATACGATTTAAGACATCCGACCCCAAAATACACCGTATCTTTACAGACGTCCTTAACCCTTGCAAGTCGGCCGCCTTGGGCCTGTAACCCGGAAGCGCGGCTTCGCGCTCCGGTTCCCTGTCGTGGCCTTTGTTCAACTGCAGACGTTGCGGGTGTTGCTCGATTGCTTATGGGAGACGGCTTCTGAAGGCTTAGGATTTGTGACCGCTTAGGGTTTATGACGGTTTATGGCTCATGGTGGTGAGGAGTCATGATGACTGAACGTGTGTGTGTGTGTGTGCGCGCGTGCGTTCACTTGAACGCTCTAGGCGAGGCCTGTTCATGGCGGTGTGGTTCGGATTCTTTGTTAGGGTGGAGGCGTTAAAATGCTTCAGGGTTGAAAGTGTAGTATATATGATATGATATGATATATATATATGTATATATATATATGTATATCTATCTATATATATATATGATATGATATGATATGATGTTGTAAGGATGCAGCTTCATTTTCCGTTTTGGGTTCGCAGGTTCCATGGCCTGAGTCGCTAAACGATCAACCGTGGATCCCGTGTTGAAGTTCACCTTTGGCGTGCGTCGGATTCTTTCGACGCTGGCATATAGACATGCGAACTTAAGCTTAAAGGCTTATTTTTTCTGCCACAAGCCTTAACGCACAGGGAAAGTCCTTCTCGCAAAACCGTATCATACCTTGTCGTCGCTTTATCATGCTACAGCTGTCCCCTGCGGGGGTCGTATACAAGTCAAGTGGCTGTTGATGTCGGCAATGGAAAGCCCACGATCCCCGCGAGGGGCCTTCTTCTTTCGCTCCTCCTGCTGAAAAGACTCCACAATTAAGACTCTAACGATATGATAGGGTTTAGGACTCAACTAGGATCTAGGGCTCCTCGACTTGAATGGTAGCGGTCCATCAAGCGGTCTTTAAATCACGCAGGGGATATAGGCTCTTTTGATTTGTGGTGACGGAGCAGCAGCCTCTTACCACTCCGAAACGCTCAAGTCTGCAAGAAGCATCATGCTGTTCACCAGGGTCTGTGCTGTTCAAGCGGTTCCGAGGATCTTCTTGCACACTACATGATCTAGCCGATGGGATGCCAAGCAATCCTAGGCACGATCTCTTCTCATGCCCCTGGCGTGCTGGCTTTCTAGCTCTCAAACATAATTCGCATCCCAAACCCCCGAAATGATGCTTGGGAGAGTGACCTGCCAACCAAAGCCCAGATGGTTCCGTCCCTTACGGCCAAAACACCCACCAGAAGGCTGCGTTTGCCGGTCCTTTGAATTGCGATGGTCCTCAAACTGCTTCTGCAAGCGATCCAAGTTCTCCTGCACGTCTGCCAAGGCACGTCAATTCGTCTTAACTGAACTGACAAAGAAAGCCTAGTCAGTAAATGCTCTTCCCCAGCTATGGTAGGGTCCCTGGGAAAAGTACTGTTAGTACGGAAGGATTGAATTCCCAAAGCCCTGTTCCCCAAATGAAGGCCCCCATACTCAATCCCGACATAGAACGCCTCAAAGAACCCAATTCGCAAATTGTGCACCTAAGTTCAGGTCGCCGCCTGAAGCCATTGACCCCTTACGCGGGCCTTAATCAACACAGTAGACTTTTTGAAGGTATAGTCTCGCATAGTTTTGCATGGACCAAAGAGGGATTACAAATTTTATCCACAAACCAGACTTCGGGTTCAACGCGTCTTCCTTCTGCGTCTTGGCCGAGGTGGCAGCAGGTGGGCGATCCCGTCCAAGGATGCGCGTTCGTATGTGTGCGAGGGAGTGTTAAACAACGGTTGGGGTGCGGCTCATGGAGGCCACAGGAGGAGGGCGCTGTCTGAAAGAACGGCCGTTGTCTGGACGCTGGCGCGATCGTCTGCTGGCGCAGATGCAATCACTAAGCTGAACCCTGAATCGTCAATGACTCTATACACGCGGGTCCCTTACACTGCAGCAATATCGGGGCATGGCACTCTCATAAAAGAACGACTCAAACCCAAAGAGCACCCTCAGCTTCGGCATCTCATCATCCTTGTATCAGGGCTCTAGCTATGGGTCTTACCATCCAGGAATTTCAGGCCTGTCCTGCGCGAAAACCACATGCGAGGATGCTGTGAGCCGATGCGCAAACTTGAAAGACTCCAATATGAAGGGTCCTGGGATTCAGTTCCAGAGTTCGGATCAAGGGTCAGAAGTGTGGTGCGTTCCGGAAACCCCAACTTCAGCTTCCATCCTCTCGACGATGCTGCTGCAGGCTTAGAGTTTTGACCTTAACATGCATTCAAAGTTGGTCTGAATTAGGTGTAAGCCCTGATTGTGCCAGGGCAACAAACTTGTCTAAGGTTCTTTCAGAATCTGTGGACTTCGCTTTGCCTAGCACGCTAGCGCAGCTGCAGCCTGGTGGCAATGGCCTCGTTGGTCACGTAACGCTCTTTGAGAATGTACTCTGCCCGAGATCTCTACGTTTTCGCTTGAGTTTCTATAAATCGAGGCTTTAGTAAGGCCACACGGTCATAAAGCCGACATCTGACCTTCGAGTCTAGCGGACCGATCAGGACGTGTGGCTGTCCACGCCGCCCAGAGCTTCGTGCACCAGCAGCTTGCCTTTAGGCAGCGCTGGCGCGTTGGTAACCGTATGGGTTATGTGGGGTTAGGGTCTGGAGCTTTTAGGGAGACCATAGATAATCGTAAGGTTTAGGGTTTAGAGTTTAGGGAGGCCATCTTCACTGCAGCATGGGTTTTTAACTCTAGTCCTAGCAGCGCCAAGTAGCGACTCTCAGCCCTTTTGGGTCCCTCATAAAAAGCCGGGAGCCGACCCTGAAGCAGTCAGCGCCGACCATCTGCCAGGCACAAACTTCCACCCTTCATGTTTACGGCCTGTTCTCCTGGGCTTTTTACTACCGCTACCTTTTGCTGAACTAGCTGACGCAGTTCTCATAAGAATTAAACAAAAAGCTCTTCGCTTCGACCCAGGTGGCTCCGAGCGCCGAGGAGGTGCTTCACAGCAGAGAGCAAGAAGTCAGCGCTCTGACCTGAAATCTTGAGACGAAGGCTCTGCCAAAAGAGAGGATCCCTTGGGCCTGGGGCCTTGATAATTAGAATCGGGTCTTGGGGCCCTTTATACTATAATTACAACAAGGCACCCCCCAAAAAATTGTATAGGTAATTATTTAGGCCGTTTAGGCTGGTGGTTAGTTTGGGGCCATGAGGATCCGCCTGAAGTCTGAACAGCAGTCATGTTTGACTCGAAGATCTTGCTGCACCGCACATTCCCACGGTCACGAAGAGCTAGTAAAAAGCTTCGTTCAGGATTGCACATGCCGTCGGATCACCCAGATGGATACGGATCCATCCCTAAAAGTCTCACGCTCTTCCTTGCTGTGTCCAGCTTTTCCCAGAGTCCCGGACCTTTGGAGCCATAAAGTTCAGAAACATTGCGACACAAGAAATGATGAAAACCAACAGCACGACACCATGGGCATGAGGAGGCTAACGATCATTCGCACCATAAGAACCACTAGAGCTGCATCAACTTTACATAAGAACAGAATCGACCTCACTCAACTTAGTAGCCCCTAAACCCTAAACCCTAAGCCGCTAAAAAACGGATAGGGTTTTTAGCTTCCTCCACTGAGCGGCCCAGAGCTCGTGCATAGTGGGCCACGTTGTCGCTCACATGTTTCCTCAGATTCAAGGAGATCCCAAACTCGGGGTCCTTTTGTTGGATACAGCTTTTTTCTTTTTTGTCTTCATGAAAACCCTGTCAGATCAAGAATGATCGTTTTTTTATACATTTTTGTTATAATGAAAAACCCTATGAGGATTAAAATATGATCATGTTTAATATGGCCCCAACAGGGGTCTACGGTTGTTGGTGCTTCCTCTTGTTGAACACATGTTCTAGCATGTTGTGTCATACAAAGTGCATGTCGTTGCAGTCGTCCACGGTGCAACTGAGACCGCGACACAAAAAGAACAACACGATCCGATGGGAGTCACGCCTCTCCACAGACAAAGGGGTCATTCGAGCCTAAGCTCGCCCCAGGGCTCACGGTACCTGCTAGGATTTCGGCACTCACTGGACATGTTCCTAGGGTTTACTGGTAGGGGCTCAGAAAGTTTTTATAGCATTTCTCCCTGGAAGGTTTGGTGAAAGCTCATCTTTGATTTTCCGCGACAAAAGCACTGGGCCCTTAAACAAACGGGCCACCCTGCAGGGAGCAAGCCGCAACAGGAAGGCTCAGCAGGTGGAAGGACACTGACTCATCTCACGACCTTGCTTGGACCCTTACTGGTAGTTACTTTTTGTTGGTTGCCTTGTCCTCCTATCGACTGGATGGTGCTAACTGTCTGAAAAAAACAATCCAATCCAAGGACATGAAACCCCAGGAAGCTTCAACAGCCGAAGTTTTGACACCTCGGTGAAAGTGTAGTCGGATCCTGATGATGGGAGATCCTACTCTGCCACGCAATTACATAAGGGACCTTATAATGGGGATGTGTCTTTGCCTGTAGGTTTCCCAGCACTTTCGACAAGCGTCAAGGCATCGTAGGCGTCGATGGATTCTGTGCGGCATAACACATTCGCATGCACAAGGACTTGCATGCAACAGCAAAGGCATCAATTCCAACGAGCCTGGTGCGATTTCTTGCCCAAGTGCATCCTGCAAAAGATCATGTTTGAACTGTTCCAAACATAGACACTACCCACATTAATTTCCCCACAAACAAATCGCGGCATTTCGTTCACTTCCACCACGTCTCTACAAAGGGTTCCACGAGGGTTGCAGGAGGTCCGATAAGGGTTTGGAGGTGTGGGGCAAAGGTGGTTCAGGGGTTTGCGAACAGGGGCATGGTCTTAAACTTGCAATTGGGTTTTGGGTCATGCTTTGCAATAAAGTATACAAGAAGGAACCTTCAGGAAGAGCACTGCCACTTCTTCAGGCGTCCATGTTTCTTCAACCCCTTTCTTGAACTCGTGCTGTGCAGCTGAGTGAGAGGGTAATGCCCACTTCCGTTTCAGAATAGTAGAAGCATACTCTAACGTTATAACCCCCTAGTCCAAGAAACCCCGGTCCTGTTGCCAAGGAATCTGTTTCCGCAGGGCTGCTTTGTACAGAGGCCGAAGTGCGAAGGTCAGGTTGCACAGAATCCGCCTGAGCAGGCCAATGCGGCTTAGGCTCAACTGCTGAAGGCCTTACTAGATTATCCTAAACCCTACACCCTAAATCAACGATTGTTGAGGTTAGTGAGTTTGGGTGCATCGGGCTTGGTACCCTGGGGTGTTGGGGTATTGGTCTCTGGTGTAATCATCAGGGTCTGTTTTGCCAGGGTCTATAGGGTTTACGGTTTCTTTCCCTCCTACATAGCAAGGACAAGCCCGCATTGCATTGCAGGGTATAGTCGGGGTTCAGGGTCCAGGGTTTACGGTTTGGGAAAACAGTGGTCCGAACTGGTGATGTTGGTACAATCTGTGCCGTAGCAGCCTGGCCTAAATGTGCCTTTTCCGAGTTGCTCTGCCTACCCCTTATCTCATGTCGAGTATATGGGCCCAAAGCCTCCTTAAGTATCCTGAGAGGTGAACCCGAGCACCAAACCTATACCCGAAGAACACTACTCTTTTTTTGCAGCAGGGGAGGGGCCGTTCCTGATGATGGGTACCTGAATCATGTCCTCAAAAAGGCAGAAGTTTAAGAGCCGCGGAAAATCCTAAGGCCTCATGCAATATGTCCAGCACCTAGAGCCTGTTTAAACCTCAAGCAGTAGACCTCAAGGTCTGAACCCTGCAGCCTGAAGTTAAAGCCAAACCTTGTCGATGCTCTATACATATATATATATATCCTACCCGCTCAGGTTATCCACCCTTTGGGACCGGGAAAAGGAATACCTTGCTAAATACAGGCTGCAAAATACGTTCTGTACAATACTTTATGGAGTACCCTACAGAATACCTTATAGAATGCCCGACAGAAATACCCTGTAGTAGAGTACACCTTATGGAATATCCTCTACAACACCTTTTAGGATACCCTTGAGAATACCTTATAGGATACCCTATAGCATACATAGCATACCCTGTAGAAAACAATTAAAAAAGGACAATCAGGAGGAGCCCAAGATCTGAGAAGAAACCGGGAATCTAGGACCATTGCCTATAGAATACCCCACAAATAACCCTTTCTACAAACCTCAAAAAAGTCACATAAAATACGGTGATGCCTTATAGAATATCCTGTAGACCTATACATGCACCACCCTCCTATATACACCCTGACGAATACCTTACACAACACCGTCCCCTATGGAATGCGCTATAGAATACTGTGCATAATGCCACCTATATGTACAGTATGCTATATGGAATACCACCTGAAATACTGTATAGAATACCATACCCCATGCATGTGATACCCCATATACAGCTTATATATACCCTATATGAGATTCGGTGCTATCGAACCGCTGATGTCATCTTCGGAAAACGCAGCGGTTCGATAGCACCAAGTTGTCTGAAACGACACCCTTCGGAAAAGTTGATGCCATCGAACCGCCCCGGCTGTTGTCCACATTTGCAATGGACACGGCATCGGCTCGATAGCACTAATTTTTTGAAGCAAACCCTGCGGAACATTTGGCGCTGTCTTAAGGTCTGGAGGAAGCAGCGGTTCCGATAGCAGAACATTTTCTGAAACGACACCCTACGGAAAATTTAGCACTATCGAATCGTCCTTCTTTGCTGTCTGAATTTGCCATGGAGAACACGCGGTTCGTTAGCACCAATTTTCAGAAGGAAACGGGTGAGGCGACAGCACATACAGCTCCCACATTTGGCATTCATTGGACAGGTAGCCTTAAGTACATACCAAACCTATTGAATCCAATAGGGCCTATTCAACTCAACAGGGCTGTCGGATTGAAGATTGAAGAAGCCTCAGAAAACTTTCCCAGGGCATCTTCAATCTGCAATCCGACAGCCCTATTGAATCCAATAGGGTCTATTGAACTCAATAGGGTTCACGGGTTGTGCGAAGAGAATTACAAAGACCATCGACTATCAACTATCGTATGTAGTATTTGTAGTACTGCACACGTACTAGAGTTCAGAGTAGACACATACACACATACAGTGTATTCTTTAAAGTAAGGGGGACTGACCCTCATGGGCATAATAGTCAGGATTTACACCAACCAAAACTGTGGATAACTCTGGGGAGAGGGGTGCCATATATCCATGTGTATGTATACATATATATATATGTATGTATGTATGTACGTATGTGTGTGTGTGTGCGTGTATATGTATCCTCAACTTGACATCACATACCCCGCATGCCTGAATCCCGACCCTTGAACTCTAGACCCTCAGCCACTGACAGTCTCCCCAACCTTACAAAAGCACAGCAACTCCCTGCGACTCGATACTTTACATAAGTGCCTGAAAAATTCGGGAAGGACTTTGGGCAGCATCGAGCGACAAGTGGCTACAACTAGACTGTTAACAAACAAGTACATTCGCGTACATAGACGGCTACCTCGACAAATAGAACGTATGTATGCATGTTTGTATACAGACATATGTATGCATACATATGTATGTGTATAAATATATATATGACTAGTTACAAGTGTATATGCACATATGTATATATATATATAAACATTTACGATCTCTACATGATATGTTGTTTGCTCGTGCGTACAGGTGTGAGGGGGAATTTGCTTCGCCCCAGATCTGTGCCTCAGATAGTCCGAGTTGTTCAGCTCTAGCGGAAAGTCCTGCCATGCTTGAGTTTAGGGCGTTTCAATTAATCACGGACCCCCATTCAGCAAGAAAACCCTTGGAAAATACGGGTCCGCAGCCCTGAATGGGGACCATGAACTTTCTTCCTCACAACCACCCACTTCAGCCCACAGCATCCTCATTCCGTGGACACCGAATCGCGAAACATGCTGGAGCCCACTTCGTCTCTGACCAAGGCGGGTTAGGGATTCAGGGTCCAGAGTTCAGGGTTCTCTGTTAGTTTTAAGGTTTTTTTAAGCACCTTTTTCCGCCTAGCAGTTAAGGTCAGGGTTTAGGGTTTGGGGTTTAGGGTTGCTCAGACTATAAGGACCTGAAGCCCTAAAGCGGAGAAGTAGTTTGCCACTCGCCAGGTTCATGAATATATCCGAGCCCAACCACTTAGTCTCCCCTCGCTCCAATGGCTATTTGTGACAAGTACCTGATGCAGTCGCCACTAGACTCACTCTACATTCAAGTCAGCTCAGCCGAAGATCCGCTGTGATTTAAGGCTTTAGGGTTCCGTGCGCAGCTCCACTTGTTGATGAGTGTGCACGTGTCGCCAATTATCAAGATTGACGTCGAATCAGTGTGTCTGTTTGTGTGCTTGTTTGTTGGCTTTCTTGCCGTCTCAGGCATTCATGTTGGCTCTGGGCGGAACCCCTATATTATATTATATTCCATTATATTAAATTGTGTTATATTATATTACGTTATATTAGATTATACTATACTAAATCCTTTGAATTGCTTCCAAGTCTCGCGGGGCTAGAGACTGACGCCTATATACGCCTATATCCAAACCAAAGCCGACACATGATGGCGTCTTAGAGTCTTAAGAGTCCTGAAAGGTCGGATCCTCAGATTCACGTCCTCCCCAGAATGTAAGACTTGATACACGGGCATCCTACTCTCTGAAACTCCCATGTTGCCCCGGACGCCGGTGTCCAGGACGTAGAAAGCGCCAGGGCTGTCGCCAGTCTTTATTATCGCAGAAGCCATCCACTAGAATTTGGGAATGAGATGTTCTAGTCTAGGCGTTAAATTTAGTGTAGGGTTTAAGGTTTAGGGTGTAGGGTGTGTCCATCTGAGGCTTCTTCGCCAATGCTTCAATTGATGTGGCTTGACGAACCGTTCCATGAAGAGCAGATGGGAGGTTCAGACATCCGGGGACCCCAAATGTTGAGCCTAAGTAGTACGGTGCTTATTAGTCTTATCATTGGTACTATTGTTAGCATCATGATTATGATTATCATTATGACTCATAGTACTACCTCTTATTCTTTGTTACCATCCATATTCTGTCCATTATTCTACTCTCTATGTGGAGCTCCAGTGTAAGCAGCCACCGTTGATGCAGAGCCGCGAGCTGAATTCTGAGCCCAAGGATGTCGCGAAGATCCGAAAGCCCTGGAAGCCCCAAAAACCCGAAACCCTAAGAACCCCGAACCCCGAAGGTCCTCCACCTAGACCCGACCTGTAACCGAAAAGACCTACCCTTTTAGTGTTTCGTATTATGGTTTCTCTATCTATCTCTCTCTCTCTCTCTCTATATATATATAGATAGATAGATAGATAGATAGATAGATAGATAAACAGATAGATAGTTCCTTTAAAAGGTAGGTCTGTTTGGTTACAGGTACACCTCCAAGATTACAGGCCCCAAACTCCCAACTGCCCCGAGCAGAGTCATGTAGAAACCCGCAGGAACCGCTGGTCAAAGCTACCGAAGAGCAACAATAGCAAAACACAACGTATTCTAACCATAGTATAACATATGTATATATATATATAGAATGACATCATATATAACATATTTATAAGATCATATAACATTAGGGTCAGCACCAAGGCCTCCAATACTAGGCTGGGCGTCAGACTTTTGTTCCGAGTTTCTTGCGTTAGCACTAGGCTTCCCTGCTGTGGCTCAGTGTGTCGTCACAGGGAGGAGGTGAGAGCTACCTCTAGCAATTGGGAGTTTCCGAGCATCAAAGGAGCCAGCCACGGCGCGCCTTAAGGGCTTAGGTCTTCAACCCAAACCCCCTTCCCCCAAACCCTCAACCCTTTCTCAAGTCCTCTGGGGGCTTCAGCCCTAAACCCTAAACGCTTTCTTAAGTCCTCTGGGGGCTTCAACCCTAAACCCTAAACGCTTTCTTAGTTCTTAGGGTCTTCGCAAGGTCATGCTCAATTCACTCTAGGGTCCTGGTGTTGCTTAGCCCAGGATCGGATCCTGAACTCTGGCTTAGTGAACAACTCGAATAAGGTTTAGGGTTTAGGGTTTAGGGTTTGGGGTTTTAGGGTTTAGGGTTGTAGGGTTTAGGGTTTAGAGGTATCTTCGATAGCTGTATCGAGGCTTGGCAAATTGGAATAGGGCTGACAGGCGTATTCTAGGCTGGTAGCCTCTGGGC